CGCGTTTTGGGCCTCAATGCCCAACTCTCAGCTCGGCCCAGTTTTTGCGCTGCTGGTCCCTCTCAATTGCCCCTTAATTCCATCTGTGCAACATGATTGGGATTACCAGCCTTTTGGCCGAGCTAGAGTTTGTTACGCTTTTTCAGCCGAACTAAAAAACCCTTTTAGCCTTTCCAGCCGAACTAAGTTTACCTCGGGTATCACTATGTCCGGTCAAAACGTCTCTTCAATCATTGTGTCTGTAACGCTTCCCATTCCAGTGACACGTGGCAGGCTCTGATTGGCTAAGGACGGCTGTCACGCCGTCTTCGTGCTTTGAGATCTTGAGACGATTCCCGCCCAAATTTTGGGCTCTCTAACAAAAGTGAACCCTGAGGCTAGGGTATCTTCACTTTTACCACCCTTCATACTCTCTCTCTGCTTTTTTGGCTGCTCGAGTTCTTGAGCTTTGAGCTTACTGTGTTCGTGCTTCCGTTGCTGCCACTGCTCCATCTTCAACTTCTTCTTCTCCAAACTGGTAAGTTCTGAGAAAACTTGTTGTTGTTGTTTTTTTTGCTTTCTTCATTCCTGTTTTTTCTATCTGGGTGAAGCATGCTCGTGTATTCCTTGTTTTTGCTTCTGCACTTTCATGAAAAAAAAAAATGAATAGAACTTGTATGTGTATGAACTGTTATGTAGAAAAACAAGCCTTAGATCCAAAATCACATTGCGACCGTACTAGGATTCTGTTTGCCCCTAATACGTAGACTTCTGTAGTCAATAACCGAACTAGAACTTGTAGGAATGTCAGTAGTTTCTTCCGAACCACTCTAGCCAAGATAAGATTTCCGAACAAGCTTGTATATACCGAACTAGGTACTTCGGTCTCCAACCGAGCTAAGACCTTGGGGCCAAGCCGGCTTTCCTAGTTCTGAAACCGAACTCAGAAAGCCGCCCCTATGGGCTCAGCCGGAGTAACTTTCCTCACATCGTAACCGATTTAGGCCTTGGGACTAAACCAGCTTTCTTAGTTTTTTAGACCGAACTCAGAAAGCTGCCCCTTAGACGTTAAACCGGTCTAAACTGCTAGAAACCGAGCTAAGAAACCTTCTAATGAGCCGAGGTAGAACCAGCCCACTAAGCCAAAGTAGGATTTGTATATCTTGCTTATAATTTGTAGCGCGGTCCAACGATCTGTGCTTAACCCCTTTGTTTTCTACTTTGCTGACTTAGGTTGCCCAGGCACTCCTGCGTGTGCTTAACCGAGCTATTGTGCCAAATTTTTGTACCGACATAAATTATAAGTAATTTATTCACCAGATGGGTAAGTATAGATATTTAGTCGAAACCCCTGGTGGTATGGCCGAATTTAGGCAAGATTACCAGATTCCTGATGATGTCCAACTGGTGTTGGCCAAGAAAGATGCTACTCCCTGGGACAATGAAGGCTTCGTCCCTTTTACCCTTCAATCCATCATAGAAACCGGACTACGGTTTCCTGTCCAACCGCTAATCTGCGAATTTCTTAGACAGACTAGGTTGTGCCCCACCCAACTGTCCACCAATACATATCGTATTATAATGGGAATTGCCGCATTAAACCACCAAACCGGACTAAATCTTGGCCTAGCCGAAATATTCCATCAGTATTCCATCGGCTCAAAGAATGCTGGGTGGGTCTATTACCTTAGAATTCGCCGCCGCCGAGAGAAGATAATTAAGCACACTCCGGACAAAGATCTTAACGATGATGATTTCTTTTGGGTCTCTGGGAACTTTGAGGATTTTCAAGCTCAAATTCCTGGCCGACCTATAAATTGGAAAATGGGAGAGCCTGGTAATTTAACTTCGGTCTTCTTCTCTGCATTTTATTTCGGTTCTTCAATCCATTGACCGAACTAACACTTCTCTTTTTTGCAGATTTTGCCCACCTCCGTTCTCTATATAGTTATCCCAACCTTGCGATTTTGCGAGCCGCACTACGGTGCCAAGAGAGGAGTTGGGCTAAGCTTCTGAATTTCGAATCGACCTACCGATACAGCGGTCGACGGAAAGCAAAGGTAACCGATTTTCTTCTCGGGGAAGACCCAGAACCGGACCCAACTTTGCCCGAGATAAGACTTGTCCCACTAACAGCTGAAGAAGAAATGGCAAAGAAAAGCAGAGTTAGGGCCCTCCTGACCGCAACAACCAGGGCCGAAGTAACACCAACTACTGAAGTGCAGCCCGCCGTCGTGGCCCTTCCTTCACAACGGCCTTCTTCATCTCGCCCTTCAAAACGCGCCCGATCTACGTCAGTCGAACAGCAACTTGTTGATGAAGTCAAATCCGTCCCCCAAAGTCCTCATCCTGCCCCCCAACTAGAGCAAACTGACCGAGCTCGATCTCCGAAGTGGGCTCCGCCGCTGATCTTCAACGACCGAAACATCAAAGCCACTGACTCGGTCGTGGCTGAAAAAGACCACCAACTGGCCTTTAACCTGGCCAAAAGTGTGTGCCTCCCCAAGGACATGGAGCACCACTTGAAGCAACTGAACACCGAAATGAAATCAATTCGGTCTGCTTCCAAGTCCATGATCTTGGTAAGTAGCTCTGTCTGTTTTTTCCGTCTAAATTTTTCCAACTTTTACTTCGGCTGAGATGAGATTTTTGTTTTGCCAGGCCTTGCAAAAGAACAATGTCACTTATAGGAAAGTCCAAGAACTCCGCAAAACTACAAGGCAGGCGATGGCGGAAGCCGAAGCAAAGGCGGCCGAACTACTACAAGCCGAAAAGAGAATGGCCGAGCTAGAAGCGGAGAACGGCCGTCTTGCCGATCTAGTTAATTCGGCGGAAGCGGAGAAGCAGAAAGCTGCCATCGTTATGAAGGACAAGTATTTGCAGGAGTTGTTGAAGCTTGAGAAGAGAAAGGACGCCGAAATAAGCGAACTGAAAAAGAACATGGAGGCGGTCGAAAAGGAGGGGTACAAGCGGGGTTACAAGGAGGCGGAAGATGCCTACGTCGAACAATGCGACGCCGCCAAGGAGCTCTTCTTCAAGTGCGGCTGGAGGGGGCTGTGGAGAAGCTCGGTCATGATGAGCAGACCGAGGTCTTCAACCCTCCAGAGTACTTTATACCGAAGTCCCTGGCGGAGTACGCGGCTGCTCTGCAACAACAATTTTTGGAAGACTCTGACTCTGATGATGCCTCTGATGAAGATACTCCGGCCGAAAATGTGGACCAGCCAGTTCGGTCGGAGCCCGCTGTGGAGGACTTGACAGTTGATCTTCCCAGGGAAACCGTGATTCCAGCCGAAGTGGCTTTCCCGATTGTGAATGAGCTCCCTTCGGAAACCGGTCTGCGAGTTGATGGTGACGCTGAGTTTGACGCCGAGATAAATGAACTTTTCTCTTAATTTTTTCTTCTCTTTGTAACCGAAGTATGCCCATGTAATGACTTCTTGTTGAATGAAAATTTTACGCAACTCTTATTCCGGTTGTTGTGTGTATGCTTGCACTTGTAAGAGAGGACGAAATTCGAAAATGATATACTGAAGGAAGCACGTATTGGCCTTCCCATTCACACCAAACCAGATCTAGACAAACAGAACTGCCCAGGTCATCCGACTTACGAACACGTGCTCGAAGAAAAAGCACGATGCAAGGGAGGATGCCAGGGCAAGGATCCACACCGAGTTTCGGCTTACAACGATTGGCTCCTCGGACGCATGGAAGCGTCGAGGTTGGAATGCAATACCGCGACCGGCCTACGAACCAACGGACAAGGCATTGGCGAGATTACAGACTTCGCCGTTTGTCCTAGCAATCGAAAACGCGCCCTACCATCAGGCTTCCTTCAGCCGAAATTCACCACATATGAGAAGACGGACCCATATTCACACTTGAGCCACTTTCGCCAAGTTCATGGCTGTGTACAGACGAAACGAGGCCTTGATGTGCATACTCTTCCGTCAAGTCTTGGCGACCTAGGCTTGACTTGGTTCGAAAAAACTCCCAGAGGGCAGCATAGCCTCCTGGGCCCAATTGGCAGAAGCGTTCGTAACAGGTTTCGAAACAAAACACTTAAAAACACCGGTGGAGATAGACCAGTTACTCTCTATCGACATGGGTGAAAAAGAGACCCTCAGATCTTACAACAGTCGCTACTGGAGACTTTCAACCAGATTGGAGACTGCCCCACCAATCTAGCCATTGCCAATACAAAAGAGGCCACCAGTAG